GAAGGAAGATTTACTTTTAGGGCCTTCAAGTCAGCCTCTCGGTCAACCAACAAGCCACCGCCATCTTGAAACCTCGCGCCCCCCCTAAAAGTGTTTTTAAATCTCTGCCCTCACTGAGCTTAATTATAGTGAGGAGTTAGATAATAAATATGTAAATTATATAGCATGTTAGAAGCTGATAAGTGTTATCAGGAAAAACAAAGCAGGGAAGGAAGGGAGATAGGAGTGTTCAAGAAGTGGTCTCAGTAAAGTGGTGACATTTGAGCCTTCACTTGGAGGTGAGGAAAGAAGCCATGGGACACTTAGGGGAATGGAGTCCCAGGCAGAGAGAACACTTAGTACCAACGCTGTGAGGAGCACCGTGGCAAGTTTGAGGTCAATGTGGCTTCAGCAAAGTAAGTGAGGGGGAGAGAAGTAGGAGGCTGGGTCAGAGAAATAATAGGGTCTAACACTTGGTTATAATGGCCTTTGAGACCATTGTAAATACATTCTTTTTTTTTTTTTTTTGAACAGAGTCTCATTTTGTTGCCCAGGCTAGAGTGAGTGCCGTGGCGTCAGCCTAGCTCACAGCAACCTCAATCTCCTGGGCTCAAGCGATCCTCCTGCCTCAGCCTCCCAAGTCTTGGGACATACAGGCATGGCACCATCCCGGCTAATTTTTCTATATATATTAGTTGGCCCATTACTTCTTTTATTTATAGTAGAAACGGGTCTCGCTCTGCTCAGGCTGGTTTCGAACCTCCTGACCTCGAGCTATCCACCCGCCTTGGCCTCTCAGAGTGCTAGGATTACAGGCGTGAGCCACCATGCCTGGCCTATTTTATTTTTTTATTTCAGAATATTATGGGGGTACAAATATTTTACTTATATATAATGCCTTTGCCTCACCCAAACTAGGGCTACAAGTGTGCCCTTCCCCCATACTGTGTGCTCCACATCCATTAGTTGTGAGTTTACCCACCCCCAGCCCCCCATCTATGAAAAATTTTTTAAAAAATTAGCTACACATGGTGGCTTGTGCCTGTAGTCCCAGGTACTCTGGAGGCTGAGGCGGGAGGATTGGTTGAGCCCAGGAGTTTGAGGTTGCAATGAGGTATGATTGTGCCACTGCACTCCAGCTTGGGCAACAGAGCAAACTCCATGAAAGAAAGAAAATAAGAAAGAGAGAAAGAGAGGGGGAGAGAGGAGAGAGAGAGAAGAGAAGAGAGAGAGAGAGAGAGAGAGAGAAAGAAAGAAAAAAGCTGTTCTACCTCTTGAGTAAAAAATAAAAAAGAAAGAAAAAATTATATTATAAATAAAAGAAAGGAAGAAGGAAGGAAGAGAAGGAAGGAAGGAAGGAGAAGGAAGGAAGAAGAAGGAAGGAAGGAAGGAGAAGGAGGAAAGGAAGAAAGAAAGAAAACTGTAACTATTAAATTGGGCCTCAAGTTTCCTATGTCTTCTATAGTCCCTCTCTAGACCTAAGGCATCAGTATTCACCTGCCCAAGGCAGAAACCTGGGACCAAGTCCTGTTAATTCTGTCTCATAATCATCTCTTGACTTTATGTCTTCTTTTTCAAACTCATGGGGCTACCTTAATTTTGGCCACCATTATTTCTTTCTTTTTTTTTTTTTTTGAGACGAGTCTCGCTTTGTTGCCAGGCTAGAGTGAGTGCCGTGGCGTCAGCCTAGCTCACAGCAACTCCATCTCGGCTCAAGCAATCCTCCTGCGTCAGCCTCCCGAGTAGCTGGGACTACAGGCATGGCCCCATGCCCGGCTAATTTTTCTATATATAATTAGTTGGC